GGCCTCACCCTCACAAGCCCAGAGTCAGGGGCAGGCATCACTGACTGCACTTCTTGTGCCGGGAACCTGAGATCCTTGGAGGTTACCAGGTCACTCAGCCAGGGGAAGCCGGGAAGGAGTGGGAGGGTTGGGGTCCAAATGGTTAGAGGCAGGAGAGCTGGGGGTCTGGTCAGCAGGTTTCTCCTGAACCTGCTCTTTCTCCAAGAACAGTGAGTGCCCTGAACCCACTTTGCAGTAATCAAGGGTCACCAGCAAAGTGCTGCTTGCCCCAAATCTCTCTCCTGCCCCCGTCACCACAGCACACATCCCCTTAGCCACTCTTAAGGGCTGGTAAGTTTTCCAGGTGGTTCCTTTATAGAAAGAAAGCTGCCCTGGGATCAGTCCGCACCTCCCTAAGGCTCTGACCCTGGCTTTATGAGTCCAGGCTGGGTGCAAGGAAACTGCCGTTTGAGGGTCCTGGGGTCTGTCACTGGCTCCTGGCTCCCACGGGAAGAGTCAAGGTCCTGAGATTGAACGTGGGGGCCGGAACGGATGGAGGGAGTGCTCAGCAAGGCCTCTCAGCTCTCAGACTCAGCCCTCTGGCCCTCCACAAAGGTGGGTGGTTGTGTGTTTGGTCTCGGGGGTCTGCTTGACCCTGGGAAGGGCCTGGCCTCACACCGACCACTCCTTCTTACACTGGGAGTGGGAGGACACAGCCAAACTGTGAGTACCCAGCTGGGAAGCCTCAGAAAAGTGAAGTACCCGGGGAAGAAATTGATTCCCGTAATCCCTCCTTACCCCTCGGGCTCGCTGAGAGGGAGCAACAGGCAGTAGTGTTTAACCCGCGGGAGAAACTGGCCACGGAGGAGAGAACAGGCTGCCCAGGTGACCTGCTGGAACGCGGGGCGTGAGCTCTGCAGGCAGGCAGACGGTGTGGCTCCCGTCTTGTCTTGCAGACGCACTGGGAGTGTCACGCCAGGGCCAGTGGCTTGGGGAGACCATCCTCGCCAGCCTGGGCCTCTGGGTCTCCTCTGTCCTGCTCAGGTGCTGCCTCGGAGCAAGATGGAGGTGGGGAGACTATTGGCTCTAGGCACGCACTGCCCCCCAACCCCCATGGATATTCTCGTCCATCCTTGGGTAGCCAAAGAGGTCAGTCCTGTTGGAACCCGTGTCCTTCTGACATATGGGGTGCAGGTGCACGGAGGCCTCCTGGCCTCGATCTGTTGTGGGCGTGGCTCGGGGCCCCTCCCCTCTCCAGCTATTAATGCTATTAATGCTTTGCTATTAATGCTGCATAATTTCCAGCTGAGATGGTCTAGAGCCCCACGCTCACCCCACCACCAGCAAATGTCCCAAGTAAGATGGGAAGATCCCGCCTTGGTCCTGGCCTGCCACAGACTCAGGTGTGTCCTGAGCCAGGTTACCTAGCTTCTCTGTGCTCGCCCCTTATCTTTAAGATGGAGGTTGTGACTTCCCCACCACCAGGTGGCTAATGAGAGTCCAGGGGGCAAGGGGTGTGTGAGCCGGCCCCCCATGGGGGTGCAGTACACAGTGGCAGCTCCCTGCCAGCTGGTCTCTGCAGACAGCAATGCTTTGGCCAGTGCCCCTATCCAGGCCCATCCCTCAGGCTGGCAGTTCTGAGGGGCACCCCCAAGAAGAAAGGAGCATTCTTTTTCTGATGAAAACACCCCCTTGAGCTTGTTTCGGGTGTATTTTCAGTTGAATCCGAGTTAGCGAGGAAGGCCCAGAGGGTGGTGTGACCTGGACAAGGAATTTTCCAGGCTGGGATTTTCCTAAAGTCCACGGACAGGCTCAACCCGTCTGACATCTCTTGGGTCGCTCCGCCGGGTTGAGGGACGGCCAAACTGGTTTGGGGATCAGCCCTGCCAGCAGCAGCTCTGAGATCCCCCAGAGTTCACTTCCTAGGGTGAGTTCACAAGCTTGGAGACGTCCAGCTCCTGCCAACCCCACCAGCCCTGGGGGACAGGTGTGGGAACGCTGGTGGAGCATGCCAGAGGTCCTCTCCTGCCGGCCCAGACCACAGGACCGCAGATGGCAGGATCTGCCCAGCACAGAGAAGCAGGTAGGGCTGGGCGGGGCAGGCCGTGGGCCTCCCTGTGAATCCTGGGACCAGGCACCACTCATCTGGTAGTTACCCTGCCCGTGGGGCTTGTGTGTGGATGAGGGGGGCAGGCAGAGATGGAGAGGAACAGGGTCACTCGGCCAAAGGGCCAGCAGTGGATCCTTCCTTGTTTTGACTTTCTTACCCACGGTGATGGGACGTGACAGAGCAGGCAGCAAAGTGTGGGAACGATCTAGAAAAGCCAGAAGGAGCTGAAACTCAGGACAGCGTGCTGCTGCTTCTGCTGGTGCTGGAGCAATGATACGGCTGTTTTGCAGGAGAGCGAGATTTTCCCCCAAGGAAAACATCTTTGGTTTTATGTTCCAGGGGTCAGCTGTCAGGGCCACCAAAGTCCAACCTACAACCCCCCAGGGAATGACATTTCCCGTAACCAGAGGGAAGTTCTAACCCCTCAGCTGCCCAAGCTGCTGAGGCTGCAGAGTCCTTCCTGCCCATCTGCCCACCTACTGGGCCCTGTCACACCTGCGTCTTGCGCACACCGGCTCTTGGACCTCAGCAGATCCACTTGCTGCTCTGGGCCCAAGGCCTTAGTAAATAGGGTCCTTGGGCAAGGTGAGAGCTCTGGAATCCCTTCTGTCTATAGCCCACCCTGGTGGGGAGGTGGAGGGTCTAGGATGAGCAGCTCATCCCACCCACGGCACCTGCAGGATTGAGAAGGGGTTGAGGCTGGCTTCAGCCTCGAGAGACATGAGCTCGCTGTGAGGCCAGGGCCGAGTCATGGGGCAACAGACTTCAGAAAGCACAAGCGCTCACCCCTCTTTTACACAGGGTCCAGAGAGGGAAGGAAGTTACCTGAGGTCACACAGGAAGTTGGTAGCAGGCCAGGGACAACGCACTGGGGTGGTGCTGATTCACGGGAGTAGGAGGTGGGTAGGAGGCGCGCGGCCATCTCCTGGGGATGCGTCTGCTCTCAGATAGGTGACATCCTGACTGGGGATGAAAGGGAAACCTTCCCAGACCAGCAGTGGGGCTGCTGTCCTGCGATGTGACTGGGGTTGAGTCACCTCCTCTTGGGCCTCCGTTTCTGCTTCGTAACACATGGACAGCCTCACCCTTGGCCAGCTCCTCGCTGGGGCGTGTGAGGCTGCGGTGAGGCAGAGGGCACCAGATGGCTGGGAAAACGAAAAGCCTGTCCGTGTGCCCCCTACGATCCCATTAGGTCCTCCCATCCGTAGTGGGGTGCTGTCTCCCCATTTCGCAGATACATACGTAGCCCCAGGCTGCCCGCTGGGTCAGTGGCCACGTAGAACAGATGTCTGATTTCCTGAGGCCGGACAGCCACTGCCCCTGGCCCAAGGGCTCTGAGTCGCTGCCCCTGGCCCTGACCCTTTGTGGTCATGCGCATCCTGTGCCATTTCCTTGGAGGAGATGGTCCAAGAGAACCGGCAGGGAGGGGCCCCTTGCTCTGTTTCCGGGGCACCCAGCGCTGGTGGGCACAGAGGAGGATGGGCAGATAACAGTTCCGTGGACAGCTCTGTTCTCAGGGGTCATGGATCACAGCAGGAATCCTGACCTTGGCTCCTGTCCCACCTCCTGCTGGACACACAGGTGCATGGGGACTGAGGAGGGGCCGAAGGTCTTCCCGCCACCCAGGCACTCCAGAGGCAAGAGTCTGCCCAAGCTGGCCGCCTGCACTGTGTGGCCTCAGAGCTGAGTCAGAGTGAGCAGCTCCTGGGGCTCAGTGTCGTGGGGTCTCGGGTCTGCCCAACACAGAGTGTCTGGCAGAAACAAACATTGGGTATGGGCACCACTGGGTGCTTGGAAGCAACACTGCGCACCCAGAGAGCACCCGGTGTGAAGGAGGTGGTGTAAGCCTGGGCCCAAGACGTGTAAGCGTTTTTTGTGATCCTCTTGGACACGGGTGAAAGAAATTGTATTGTATTTGAGCAGCAGTATGTAGACGGGGAGACAGAGAAACCTCCTAATAACAGAAACGACAGTTTTTTCTTATAGTTCTTCCTGTATGCTCGGCATCATACTAGCATTTTATGTGTATTAGCTTGTTTAATCCTCATGATGGCTTAGGAGGTAGGTAATATTTATTATCCCCATTTTACCAAAGGGAAAACCAGAGCACAGAGAGGTTAACTAACTTACCCAAGGTCACACAGCTGCTAAGTGGCTGAGCTGGGGCTTGAACCCAGGCAGCCTGGCTGGAGTCTGTGCTCTTGGCCACTCTGCCTTCTAGAAGCAGAAGGTAGTCAACATTTCACAGCTTCTGAGTTTCCAGCTGAGACTCTGGCACAAGACTCGCCATCTCTCACATGTGGTTTAAAGCTCGGGCCCTTCCTTCATCTTAGGGCTCTTCACGCCAGGCCTGTGAAGAGAGGTTCCTCTTACTGTCTCCCCACTTTACAGATGAGATGGAGAGACCAGCCCAGGCCTGTGTCATCTCGGCAATCCCCTTCTCCCTCCCCTTTTGGGCCCTCACCATTCCTCCTTTTCTCTGCTAGATCTGTAGAGTAGAACCCTGGTCTCCAGGCACAGGCAGGAGTCTTCACTGTTTCTGACCACCCCCCCCCCCCCCAACAAGCTTCCTTGGTTAGTGGTCCCAGGCAGGACCCCGTGTTTTAGGAGATGAAAGAGGAAGGTCAGAAGATAGGAGGGTGTGGCCTGGGCCTGGGGGTGGGGGCGGGAGGAGGAGCAACAGCAGCATCCCCGGGGAGCCCTGGGTGAGGTGCTCTGGGGTCATCGGTGTGATTGACGCATCAATAGGAACACCAGTGCCAACCCATGAGTAGAGAAGAGCCAGGGCTGCAGCTGGCCTTCCAAGTTATATGAATGGATGTTGTTTCTGTAAACTGCTTGTTACCTTTCATTCCCCAGTTTGGACTGAGTGGCCCACTGATGGGTGTGCCTGTCACAAAACAGGTGTCACTTGACTTGGTTGTAGATTTTATTTGATGACAGCCCCAGCCTGGACACATGGGGATAGGATTCCATTCAGGGCTGATGGTCTCGGGGCCGGGTCCCCACCCCTGAGGAGTGGGGAGCTGCTGGCAGGTTTAAAAGCCACAGGGTGCCCAGGGTATTACCCTGATCGACTGGGTCTCAGATGCAGCGTGCCCGGTGTCTGTCCATCTCTCCTGTCTTCTGCACATTGGGTCATGTAGCTGTAATTCCATCTGTTAGTTGTGTGTTGGCTGCATAGCCTGTGCTGGGTGCCAGGGTTGCAGAGGTGAACCCCTCGAATCCCGTCGTGGCCCTCGGGGTTCACGCTCTCTCTGTAGAGCCCCCAGCTTGCCCCGGGATAGCGCATCTCTCACTCATTTCAGCATCCTTTGAGCATCTACCGTCTCCCAGGCCCTGTGCAGCCTCTGGGGACACAGATTGGAAAGAGGTGAACAGAATACATTTGTGGAAAAATTCCTCTGGCCGCCTTATAGAGGGCAGGTTGGCAGGAGGCGGGATTGGAGACTGAGATAGATGATAGGACGTGCTTGTCATAATTCAGGAGAGAAAGGACAAAGCTGCAGAAGGTGATAGGAGCAGGCAAGAAGCAGAGGGGACAGACTGCAAAGATAATCGGGCTGCAGTGACCCATGGGTGGGGCGGGGAGCAGTGCCCGTCTTCTGGAGGTGGCTTGAGGTGGTCCTGGGGATTCGAGTGGATATGGGAACAGGAACTCAGATGTGCCAGGGAGGAAAGGAGGGGAAAGGGGGAGGAGCCCGGCATGGAAGACTGGTTCTTCTGCCTTGACTCACCAGGCAAGGCCCGTACCAGGCTTCCCTGCTGGGAAAGGGGACCACCAAGCTTCTGCTGCCACTTCAGAGGGTCTTGTGTGGATAGAGTAAGCTGATGGTATGAAAGCGTTTGAAAATGTGTCATTAGTGTATTTCATTGACCAGTGAACCCCGTTGGCATGTTCCCAGGGGCTTTTTCTGCCTCCCTCTGACTTCCTTTCCGCCATCTCCCCCAGAAGCGTGGTTTCAGGGCCCGCCGCCTGGCAGGCATACCTCCTGAGCCCCCCTGGGTCCTGCCCCATCCCTGGGTCTCAGAAGCCCTCATCCCTTCCTCCTTCCCTCCCTCTTCACACACACACTGTCTCACCCACACACACTCCCACACTCAGAGCTCCTCTGTTCTCCAGCAGCCTTTTAGCTGCTGACATGCCCTTGATACTTAATACGCCTTTGTTTCATGTTGCGTGTAGCTTCCCCGGGCTGCAGCACATTTGGTAATTCTCCTGCCTGGCCCTTACACCCAGGTCTCTGTACCCTCTTCCCCAGACTGCCTTTCATCCTCCCTGCACCCCCATGCCCCCATCCCTTCCCGATTCCCAGACCTTACCGGGAGTGAGTATCCAGGCCTCTCACTGTCTGAATATCCGTATGCTCACCTCCATAGGAAACAAATGCTGCTTTTTTTTTTTTTGTGGCCACATGGCTGCCTCTGGTTTCTGGCTCCTTCTTAAGCCCAAGTCCTGCCTGGGAAGGGGCAGTTTTTTGCATATGCCCGGGCGAGCTTGTCTGCCCCTTTGATGCTCCGACTCCCAGACTCCAGCCTCTGCCACCCCCCCACCCACAAGTGGCTCATTGTCTGCCGATTACTCTGCTGGTTTGGAGGACGCAGCTCCACCCTCCCTCCCTGGAGCCCAGGCAATTCCCAGAGGCAGCCGTGCAGCCTCTTCCGTCTGCCGCCTCTCTCAAGTAAGGCTAGCAGCCCCATACTGGTTCATCTGATCAGCCCAGCCTGAGTATCCCTTCTGCCAGGAGCTGCAGGTAGAGGCACATGCAGGGCCTGTCACTGTTTTCAGGGAGGGCACATCTGGGACAAGCCAGGACTAAGATGCCCCAGGGCTCTACTCCAGACCTTCCTTCATTTCTACATCTGGTTTCCTTTTACTTGTCCCTAAAGGACACTGGGGTGGCCGCCAGCTGTAGGGGCAGAAGCCAGGGAGATCTTGGGGAGCAAATGTCGGGAACTTGGCTCTCCCCTGGTGCCCTCCCTCAGACCTGCGTCCTGTGCCCCTCCTGATTCTCAGACCCCATGCTCATTACCATTTCTCTTCCAGAGAAGTCCGTGCCGCCTTACCATAACACCCTCTGGTGCAGGGGCCCCTAGATATGTCTGCTGGATCCCGTTAATAGGAGGTGCCCCGCTTTGTCTCACACACACCACTATTTTAGGTACGACTAGGAAAGAAAAACCTACCACCAGTCACACCATGGTATGACATCGACTGTAAGACACCTGCTGCTGGCAGGTGACTTAGTTGTTTAAGTCCATGGAACCCTGGTGTCCCTTGCAGCTTCCTGGATAAACTGCAAAGACAAGTGCAGGTAGTGGGAGCATGAGAGGTCAAACTGTCGTGTCTTCTCCCTGGCTGGAATCCCCTCTCCCTTCCACGGACCCCTCAGGGCTGCTGCTGTGTGGTCAGAAGTGGGCAGAGACACCAAAGCCCATCCTGTCGGTCACTTATCTACCAACCAAGGTCAAAAATACTAATCGTCATTGTATCAGTAGCAAACATACATAGAGCACCTACTCCGTGCCTGACGCTGTTCCTGTGCTTTGTGGTGGTAACGCAGCACATCCTTACAGCTGCTCTGTGACGTGGGGAGTAGAATTACCACCCCCCCCAGTTTAGAGGTGAGGAAACTGAGGCACAGGAGTTTAGGTGACTTGCTCAAGGCGTCACATGGGTGGTAGAGGCTGAGCTGGGATGGGTTGTGGAGTCCGTGCCTCACCAGCTCTTTGGGTGCTTTGTGAATGCAGAGGTGGGTGTACGATGGAGGGGTTACTTTTCTGGGGCTGCTGTGAGTTACAAGGTCCTTTGGGCCTCCGCCCACCCTCCCTCCCTTTTGGCTTCTGCTTGGATGCCCATGCGGTTGACTGGCAGCACCAATTTACAGCTCACGTCCACTCTCTGAGGCAGGCAAGCCCCTGTTAAGCCCATTTCACAGATGGGGAGACTGAGCTCCAAGTAGTGAAGCAGCCTGTGTGAAATGTCCCAGCTAAAGAGTGTCAGGGCACAACTCAAGCTCAGTCCGTGGAACTCCAGAGCCAGGGCGCTTAGTCCCCATGTCCCACAGCCTGCTCACCACTGTCCCACAGGCCCCTCTCCTCCCCTCTCCTGGGGTGGTGTAGACACTGGTGCCGCCTCATCAGAGAGGCATGCTTGGCTCAGCCGTGTACAGACAGAGCAGATGCACACCCAGACACCTACCCTGCCAGGCTGTCTTTCTGTCCTTGCATAATCCTCTACCTGCCTCTGTCTGTCAGTTCTCCTGGGTCTCTGACTTTTTGGCTGCAAATCCCAATGTGTTATCATTAACCGATGTTTGCCTCAGAACAGCTCGTGTTGGTTTGCGCCATGATGAGAGCCTGCCCTGCGTCCGTCCGCCATGCGTCTGCCCACGTGGCCTCTGTGCCAGCTGGCCACTCGGGCCAAGGGGGTGACAGGTGGTGCCTCCCTTGCTCCCTGTCCTTTCCTTCTTGGTTGTAGGAATGTGGCTGTCCTGGCATCTGTGTTGTGTCATGGCTGCCTGATACCCACAGCACATCTGCTCACAGCATCCCAGACCCTCCCCAGCCAGGCCCCTCTACACCACCAGCCTCCCTTTATTCTCTCTGCAGAAAACCACTCCACTAGCAATAGGAAGACAAGGGCCGTCCTTGACCAAGTAGGCGGGTGGCTTGTGACACAGGAGGAAAGCTCTGAATGCCCCCGCTGTGCCCCCACCCCCTCCCATGGCGTGCTGGCCCCCAGGAGGAGCGCGGGCTGGGAGGGGTGGCCGTGGGCAGGGCGGGCAGCAGGCGGCACCATCTGCGGCCATCCTTTGTGCTGGCAGCCGAGCGCTCCCTCCATTGCTGTGATCCGCCGGGCCTCGTGCTTGGCGTGCAAATGAGTTTCCAGATGCCCGGTGCCCCCCCGCACAAGAAGCGGTAACTAGGGGCCTGGGAGAAGAATGGAGCAATCTGGAAATTCATTTCTGTTTGTTCCAGCCTCGCTGAATAGACCGCTTCTCCCTCCAGCTGAGGCAGATGTGTGCTGGGCACTCGCTTCAGGGGCGTTTTGCCACGGTTTCTGGGTAGACACACGCCGGGGGGGGGGTGCCTCTCCTCTCTGGCACCCTCCTCCCTGTGCAGGTGGTGGTATGGTGAGGCCCACAGAGAGGGGCAGGACACAGCTTTAAGACGCAGCTCGCCCACTGGCACCCCCTCCTGGAGGGAGAAACAGGTGCCCTCTTGGGAAGGGCACGGGCTGTATCTCAGCCTCGCTTTCCTCTCTGGTTGAGCAGTTTTGCACACCTGGTGACCCCGGCGGGACCCTTCACCACCCCACCCCATTCTCACAAAAACCACTGCCCTTCTTTGGTCCTTTGGTCCCCAGCAGACCCCTGGGAACATGGGCACCTCCCTCCCAGCCAGCTCTCAGCAGGACTCGATGGACGGGGTTCTCCTGCTGCTCCTAAAGATGCTGGGCCCCACTCGCTCTGCACTCCTGACGGAGATTGCCTGGGCCACGGGCACGGGCAGAGCCTGGCAGGGTCTCAGGGGGCCCCCAGCCCTGCCTCTCGGGGCCTTGGGCTGATGGGGCAGCCTCTCCGGGATCTGAGCGGTTTGAAGCGGCAGCCCTGTGCTGCCACCCCGGGGCCTTGTGTGTCTGTGCGTCCTCCCCCAGTGCCTGCTGAACGAGGAAAGGGGTGTGATTCAGATGAGGCCCGAAGCGTTTCTCATTGAATCAGAGGGGCTAGCGACCATGGCCTCTTGGTTTTGGCCTTTTGAAGAGTTTCATCTCCTCCCCCACATTCTGGTTCAGCCTTGGGCTTCACCACCAGGATGTGCAGCAGGGGCACCATCTGTGTGTCTGCCTGTCTCTGACTGTGGTTACTGTGAACGAATGACTTCACCTGCCTGAGCAGTGAAGCAGTCCGCTCATCTGTAGATGGGGATGAGAGCTGATATCCTGCATCACGTGGGGTGGATTCGAGAAAAGGACACAGAAGCATGTTGCACGGCGTCCACGTGGGAGACCCTGGAAACAAGCAAGTGGGCTCTGCGTCCAGCCTAGTGGCTGAGCAGTCCTGGTTCAAAAGGCTCCTGGTTGCCTGACCAGGTCGACGCGTTCCAGGGCTATCAGATCAGTCTGGCTGATTACTCGTGGCAGGAGTGAGGCGTTGGCTGGGCTGTGATCAGCCGTTTTTGCTTCCACGGTCTCTGCAGTTTCCCCTCCTGCCCCTGACCACAGCCCTGGAGGAAAGGCAGGGCAGGGGTCATTACTCCTCTTTCCCTGCTGGCAAACTGAGGCCAAGAGAGGGTCTGTGAGCTCCTTAGGGTCACACAGCAAGGTGGTGACAACCCAGCCTTCCTGACTCCTGACTTCCCCAAACCTCAGCTCCTTTATGCGCTTTGGAAGGACTGGCCAGAAACACTGACCCTGAGGGTGCTTTTGGCCTCTGGTGGCCGCACCGGCACAGTTCAGGATGAAAGAAAGTCCCCCAGCACCCAGTTCATTCCGGTGGCTTTTCTCTTGGTTTCCGAGGCCTCCTTAAGCCTGGATGTGGAGGGTTCTCCCGTGCTTCCGCCTTTGGTGCCCCTGGCAGACTCTAGCTCAGCCCCTGGGCCACTCTCTGCCCTGGAAATCCTTTGTCCTTTCAAGCATCTGTGCCCAGCAGTGCAGGGACCTGTCGCAGTCCTGACCGGAAGGTGGGTGCACGTGTGCTCAGCGAGCAGGATACTTTTGGGGGAGGAGTGTCAGGGAGAACCCTGCAGGCACTCCTGGGAACGTCAACAGGTTCCAGGAAGGATCCGGATTTTGTTTAAACCTTGTGATTTGGGGTCCCACCCATGGGGAGGAAGCCATGTTGAGCCCATTGTCCAGAGTCCGAGGGGGGTGGGCTTCACTGAGACGTCCGGGGGCGGCCAGCAGTTCCTGACCTGGGCCCAGGGCACAGGTCTGTGCTTGGCCCCTCTGCCCCTCTCCGGTCTCCTCTTGGCACCGCCTCTGCTGTCTGCTCTGTCGTCTTGACTCTCTCCTCTTTGCCGTTGCGGTCAGCCCTCCTCTGATCCATTCCTACAGTAACAGCAGCTTTTCAGTCCTCCTTCCGTTAGGTGTGTTAGCCCCACTATACAGGTGAGAACACTGAGGCCTCCTGAGGAGGCTTAGTGACTCTCCTGGTGTCACACCAAGGTGGAGGCGAAGCCAGCGTCAGGAGCACCCAGTCTGGGTGGGTGAGGTGGCCGAGGAGCCTGCTGACCATCCTGTCCTTCCTTGCAGCCCTGCTGTCCTCCTGGTGTGAGGAGCTCGGCCGCCTGCTGCTGCTCCGACATCAGAAGAGCCGCCAGAGCGACCCCCCTGGGAAACTCCCCATGCAGCCTCCCCTCAACTCCATGAGCTCCATGAAACCCACTCTGTCACACAGGTGAGTGGGCATGTGCCACCAGGGGTGGGTCCGGGGCCCGCTTGGGTGGATGCTGGACAGCCCCCCTTCAGGCCCCCAGGTCTCCTTGGAAATGCGCCTCAGGTGGGAGAAATGGGGTGGGTGCCCCTGAACAGCCGGGAGGATAGTACATTTTCTAAAATGCAATTGTCATGTTTTAAATCCTCGTGGGTGAGCGCTGTTTCTCCCCCATCAAAACAGAGGCTGAAAGCTCTGGGCTTACCCAGCCTGACTGCTTTGTCCCTTTGGTGGAGGGCCGTCTCTTCTTCAGGTTCTAGACTTCTGGCAGAAAGTTAG